CTCGTCCCGCGGGAACACTACATTTTTTCGAGATAAATAGAAGCTTATATATCAATCCAGGGTGTCAGCTACCTCCATGCCTAATTTTATCAAATTTGGTCCAGCTGTTTGAGCTTGAAGAAGTAACAATCATAAAAACACATACACTTCAACCTTTTTAATTTAAGTGTGAATTTGTGCTTGGTCTGGCCTATTGCTCCAGTGTTTAGGGACAATGACAGCTAAGCCAGATTTCGTAGGTTCGATTCTCATCCAGAACAAATAATTTGACGATCTTTGTGTGTGTTTATCAGTAGTTTGGTTACCATAATACACGCTCTGTATAGTTTAGGATCAGACGGCTGGTATGATATGTGCCAAGTTATTATTGTTGTGTTTATAATTAACTTATAACACTTGCTAAATTTTTCCTGATCGATCGATAATGCTGTATCTATGTAGATAGACAGCAGTCCTTTACAATTCGGTGAACTATCTGTCTTACAGGATAAAAAATGATATTTTTCTTTCGTAACTTATTACTAACTTTATATTAATTGGTTTTGCGATATAAGGTCGAATACGATTACATAACAAACTTACCCACTCTTGAGCTGGAAATACCAAAATCTTATTTAGTCATCGGAAAGTACATGATAGATATTTTAACCTATCATCAAGAGTTCTATAACCTACCGGTCAATTATTAATAATAATAATAATATTCAACCACATTCACACAACGCCATCTAGTACCAAACTAAGCAGAGCTTGTACTATGGGTACTAGACAATTGATATAAATACATATATATACTTTTTTTTTTGCGATATTATTATTTAGAAAAAAATAAAAAAAATAATGATAAATAAATATTAAATAAAAAATAAATAAATAAATAAATATTAATTAGAAACGACATAGCAATGCTTAAAATAGACATTGTACCCGTACTATATGGAAATCGTTGCAATTCGTACTAGGTATGTTATGGAGATAAGTTTTCCGGAACGGGAGCCGCAATTGGAGTTTTTAAATTTTCACATCAACAGCCTTTAATAGTCCACTGCTGGATATAAGCCTCTTCTTAGAAATGAGGTTTTGGCCTACTATACCACACTGGCCAGACGGGTTGGTGTAGGGTTTGTGTCAAGTTTTCTTTCTCTCTGCAGTGCTGTTGTTCTGCGTAGTTTTCTCCCTTGGTCGGCTCTTACGACACTCACGGGATGAATAGGGGTGGTGACACTCTGTATTCTTAATCCGTTACGACAAGGACTTTAAATTTGATTTATCGTAATCAAAATCGGTCTAACTACAGACTACAAAAGAGATATTTTTGTTCATTTTTCAGGGTAAATCTAATACATATAACAAAGTCCATCAGACGAATTTCTTACGATACGTTCTGTTAATGGAGAAGTACACAAGCCTTCACGATAGCACGTAAATATAATTGCTAATTTATTCCATGGTTCTTAATACATAGGTAACTAAATTCAATTAAAAGTTAGCTAATTATTTTACCCTCCGCTGAACAGCCGAAACAATAGGCATGTGGGACTCTTGGTACAGGCAAATAGGTATGGGCTGGCTCTAGAGATGGATATGTTTGTAGGTATTAGATATAATGTGTAACCGATTGGGTTTATGATTTCACACACCGAAAATATCAGAACTTGCTAAAATTTATTGTCAATATAAAAATTCATGATCATCGTATTCTTACACTTTGCCAATGTTTATTTTTAGTTGGCGCGTTGTATTTTGTTCTTCCTTTCTTATTCTCCTCTATTACTCGATAGATCACTGCTTGCTCCCTTTCTAGCCATATTCTCTTTCACGCACTACTTCATTTTATTGCGAAATGGTGTTGACTTCTTTTTATCGCCGGCCCCCCTGCCTGACGCCAACCATCCTTCAGAATGTACCTGATTGTTCCTCGTACATAGTATAAAGTAAATGCTGCTAACGTTGATTACACAGATGATTGTTAGATTACACAGATATTATTTTGGTGTTTCTTTTAAACATATACATATGTAGTGAATATCTGTCATATAAAAACTATCGTAGCCCAGAATAGAGCGTTTTGAATAAAGCATTATGATTTTTTTTTTGTTAATACTGTAATGATTATAAAATTATTTTATATGTTAATACTTCTTTTTTTTGCAAGGTATGAAAAGAAAAAAAATAAAGGGTAACAAAAGCGTTTTAACCCACAAGTTTATTTGCGAATTTGCGATATCTCACCGTCTCTCTGTCTTAATATAGAAACTTAAAGCAAAACGACACTAAAAGATTTCATATCATAGTTAATTGTACATAATAAATAACTCATTCACTAAGAACATTTTTTATTACATTTGATATCCATGTTGAAATCAATTAAAAAGCCACTATCGACAACGCAACATGAATTTTTGTTAAGCAAGAAATAGATTTTCCCAAAACGAGATCCCACGGCTTAAATATTGACAACGATATTGCAATCATGGGAACGAATATTAGAAATACTAGTTCATTGTTTCAAACTGCACTCACTTATATTGGGACACGTGGGAACATTCCTGTGTGTAGAATTATTCGGTTTCGAAGTGTTTCACATATAATTAATTTTCGTGAGGAAACCCCCACGAGACATACTTTAGCGGAGCTGACAATGAAGTAGTATGTCGGAATCGAATCGACTAAAACCACCGTGTTCCGTCACATGTGAGTCTATTGCATCTGGACTCAGGTAGATCCTAAAAAGGAAGACCCCGAGAACCCTAGCAGACCTTGGCTGCTATAGGCAATTGCGTACAGGTCCAAGTAGTTTCAATTTTTTCTTAACAGTTCCCATGCACTTACATATGACATTAGACTGTGAAATACCATATTCGTTGCTATTGTATTATTAATTATTACATAGACATACTTAGGTAGAAGGGATCTATACGCATGTGTACCTACGCATTAAACATAAAATCGTCTTTTTATCATAAGGAGCAGCCGGGTCACTTGATGGAAAGTTACTACCGCCGCCCATGAACGGCTGCAACTTAGCAGTCACAAGCAACATACTGGCCTTGGAATACCTCCAAGGCCAGTAATCATACGATTACGTTCTTTTCTTGAAGGGTTCAAGGTCGTAGCGGTCCGAAAATGCCGCAGGCTATAATTTATGCCACAAATTGGTAGTCCGAGGCAAAAAGTGACAAAATCTAGATAAATTGACATATTCTTTCATAGATAAGTTGGAAATAAGTGGAAATGAACTCCACGATCTTTGACACGGCAAGCGTTCGTATACTCTACTACTACCGCCGTCATGTCTTCTTCGGCAATCATGTTATTTATAAATATAATACAACTTGGTTTAACATTAGAAAACATAATAAGGTGTAAATCGATTTAATACCGAAACAAAAATGTCCCATTATCAATGGATGGTACAATATTCTCACAGCTCATTACATCGTCATTGTAGACGCGTAAATCGTTTTTATTACGTAATATTTAAATAGCTAGACAGTTCATTAAACTACAACACTTAGACGTTTAAGACATACGTTTGAAGCTTATGTTCTGTAACTGATGTGGCTGATAGCAGTGACATGAAATGACTAAACGTGCTGTCTTCGAAACATGATAGCAGTTACGAAACCCTACAAATTGCCAACATAAATCCTATTACGAAATTGATTTTATCGAAATAATAGTTTTTATTTCATTGAACTTTATGTGAACTGAAGAAACACTATCTAAAACTTGACACGTAATATTTAATAGGTACCACCAAAGCGATGTATAAGTTTTGCATCTATGTATATTGTAAACGAACAATTCATGTTATTTTCCATAAACGTTCATCTGAAGTCCAGAGGAGTGTTCAGATGTCGCATGAATGTCTGACATTGTTAGACATTTTAGTATCTTTAGCCAGTATTTTCAAAAGCGTTTAAATATAAAATTTCAAAAGCATTAAATAATTTTAATTGTGAGCGAGCCACTAACACACGACTGGGTCAGGATTTCGAGTCAGGGTCGAATAATCGCACGCTATACACATATGAGAAGTGATACCATGGCCTTGCAGCAAATACTTACGTTAAGCTATATTTTCATTGCATTTAACGGAGTGAGTAACCAGTGCCACTCATAGGCTGACTACGGATTTATACCTCTTGAGCTGCAGGTCACTATTAACGGAAGTCAGCCCTGGATCTATGGGTCAAACCGAGACAGGCGCCCCGGGCGGCAGATTTAGGGAGCGCCAAAATCATAATATAATACAGTTTTATATTAAAAAAATAGTGCATTGTTGCCTCACAATCACGAAAAATGCCAACCATCATAATATATTTATGATTTTTTTTTAAGTTATTTACCTCAAAGGCTGCAGAGGGGGCACTATTATTAAGTTTCTGGCCCGGTTCGAAAAAATCGTAGATCGGGGGCTGACGGCACTAGTCACTTATATGCTGTTTATTGTCTTTCCTGCTCAATAGTCCATATTTTTCCTGAATACAATTTTACTTAAGAACCTCTATTTAACAGCTTTCAAATTATTGCTATTGATACCTTAAATATTAAAGTTTAAAAAAAAGTTATTGTCTTAGCTGTACTCTGAGCGACTGATGTAATTTTACACTCACTTTACTTAACACATTGACTTATTTAAAGTTTCAAAACTTACTTTCAGATGAAGTTTTACGACAGTATGCAATTACCAAACAGATATACATACCCGTTTCTTTCTACACTGGTATGTTAGGTTGGCTGTAACTTCTGACACTAAATAAGTTGTAGCGGTGTTAATCACAATTTGTAATAACTGCTTATGGATTAACAAACAACTGGATTCGTTTTTATTAAGCATGCAAAATGTGTAAGAATTATATTATAAGGTTCAATCTCAAAATTTCGTGACTGTTTAAAAAAAAATCTTACATTACATTTCATCACTTTTTACTTGCAATTCTTTAGGGTGTATATATGAACAGTATATTAAAAATGGAAATAAAGCTTGAAATGTCATGAATACTGAGAAAATCGAAAAATTAGAAAATGTATTCCCATGGAGTGGAGCTGTGCCCACGAAGCTTGGCATGGAGTGGATTTTTGTCCATGGAGTAAGTTTTTGTATGAAGATAATGATTAACAATTTAAAAATAAATAATCGTAATAGATTCATAAATCATTTAAAATCACTAATAACAATAATAACATAGTTTAGGAACATAATTGAGATCATTTTTTTTTAAATCACAATAAAACTTATACCTAATCAAATAATTAAAAAATATTATCTTCCTCGTCATGGTTAATTGTATTGATATTTTTTTCAGAAAGTACATCTCGGGGCATTTTAGTATTTCTGTTTTTATTATCACAAGTCATGTCCACACTTTTATTCTTAAAAATTTCTTCGCTGTCACTATCGTCGCTAAAAAAATATATATTTTGTCTAGGATACTTAAAAGTCATCTTTCTATCTCTAGAAGTCAGATCATTATGATTTTTCACAGCAGTTCCTTCAACCGGTACTGCATCTTCGCTATTGCTGCTGTCACTGAGACACATCATCTGGCGTCTAGGTCGCTTGAAAACAATCTCAGGTGAATAGTCCTCTTCAGTTCGTCATGTGAATGGCAACTTCTGATCATCTTCAATTGAAAATCTGATCTCTTGTGTGTCTCTTGGGTATATATATTTACCAATACCGTAGTGCTGGCAATCTTTCTCACAACTAAGACAGCTAAGTCTACGCAAATAAATTGTATGTGGTTCCAAAAATATTCCACTGAACATGATGGACACGCATCGTATTCTTGATCGTTTTTAAAAGTTCATCGGCAGCGCGAATTTCTTCTTCTTTTACCAAAAATACATCAACTTTCGTTTCCACTGCGATCAGGGTTTTGTATAAGGTCTCTAAATCTGCAATATCTTTTCCGAGAGCTACGTGTCGATCAGCCGTTCTTTTTACGTAAGCACCTATTCCGACTGGGACACCTTTTCCATGCCCCGCTTCATGAAAATGCCAGCTAGGTTTTTGCAAGCTGTAGTGTTTTACTAAATGGATCGCAAATAAATAAAACATTTTTTTATTACGGTATTGTGTAGTTGGACTATCTGTCAGAATATGCAAATATTTTATTGGAGTAAATACTAAAAGACGAGACATAATCCCTTTGAGATGAGCAAATACTGCACATGCATCATGCCGGGATTCCGACAAACTGCAGAATGATTTTGCTGCAATATCACCAGTTGAAGCTGATTTATGGTAAGCCACTACAGCGTGCAAAGTTATTTGCTGGCGAGATGCCCCAAAATGAACAGACTGTATTTCTTGGTTGTACTTGCACATATAATTCTCAGAAAAATCCATGTATATTAAAACTTCGCCATCTTCAAGTTGTTTCCTTAAATTTGACATTGTTTTAGATTGATGATTCTAAGAATGTTTATGTTGTAAAAATGTTGGCAGTATATCTATCATTTTAGTAATTAATTTTACTTTCGTAGTGGATACATCTTTTTTCACTATTCTTGAAACTTGCTTCGTAATTCCCGAGATCATGCGTTGCTCACTGATCTTAGTCCACTTTTTGTAACAAATGGGGCCATCTTCGAAGGTACTTATTGCAGGTATTTTATAGCAGCAGGATTTACATGCTCTGGTCATACACTCATCATTATCTGTAGAACAGGTCACACTTTTTGCGACATCGTTTGAAGTTTTCTCGCAAATCAACTTAGAAAAATGTAATTTGACAAAAAGTTGGGTAACTTATCTTGTAAGGATGGCCAAGTGATACAAACTTTAGCATAGCTTTTTCTTGTCTTTTTTTAAATTGCTGTTTATCTCTGTATTCTTTTCTCCAAATAGCGTGTTGTGTTCTCTGTTCCCTTGGTGTCATATCCTTAATAGTCTTGGCCTTTTTTTCAGCCCTTCTTTTCTGCCACCTTTCTCTTTCTTTTGCTTTAGCTGCTTCGTATGCTACGGGATCAGTCTTGATTTTATCTCTTCTCCTTTGCTCGCACTCCTTTTTTTTTCCTCTTTGCTCTTTTTTTTTCTTTCTGACTGATTTCCCGCCATTGTTTTTACTTCCGGGAACAAAAATATTTTGAAATAAATAAATTAACAGCATAAAACTTTTTTCATGATACACGTTTAACAACTATCCTAAATGTATTACATATATCATATAATACATGGGTTACCCACGTCGAAAGTCAGCTATAGATCGATATTGACAGTGTAGTTCAGAAAGAGTTCGTGCGCGTCCCGTTTTAAATTCATCCTAAGGAAGACCTCTGGATGAGATCGGAACGTGTCGACCTGGAGCTGATTTTCCACGTAAGTAACCGTACACACTAGCTTCTCCAAACGTCTTTGATCCCTCAGGTACAGTGCCGTTTTCCATGATGAAAAACGGTTTGGAGATAGTTTAAGGGCTGAGAAAGGACATACGTCTTTCCAAGCCCTGAAACCATCTCCTTCATACCAACGAATTCCATCTCATTTGGTTAATGCGTGAATAGGTAACAGACAGACAAACAAAGTTACTTTCACATTGGTAGTATTAATATAGATAGTTTGGATAACCTTACTCCATAAATGGACTATCAAACACAAAAAGCCTTTTCAATTTGCTCCAGTAGTTCCTTAAGATTGGCGCGTTCAACAAATTCTTTTATTATTAAGGCGCTCTTGCAGCGCGGTGTGTAGGTGTGCAAACATTACCTTACCCCCCGCTAACGTATCGTTCGCATAGACATAATTTAAATTTAAATGTGCCTGACTATACCAAAATTAGAGATTTCTAATAACATTTTCTGATTACCTTCTTTCTATACTACCAATGAATACTGTTTATTTACCGTACTCACATGCATACTGATTTTTTTAGACTGTGGCGCAGTGAAACTCATGTGTTTGTAAAATTTTACCATTTTGTGTTTTATAAACATTGTAGACGGAAATAATTTACTAATAGAATAGAAGGAATAATTACATTAAAATTAACTTATAAGTATTTTGTTGAAGCTCTGTGAAAACTAATTTTACGTATTTGCGCGGGGGAATTTCACGGAGCAAAATGACGTGCGTCCGACCCCAAACAAGGCTCAGCGAGCTCTGACGCTCTGACAGGCGAACTTCGCCGCCGTAAGCAAGCGCAAAAACATATTTTTTGGTTCCTTTTTTTATAAGTTCAACTATGTGAAAATGTATCCTTACAAATCCTTAAAAAAAATAAGCTCTATTTTTTGGTATAATTTTTACGTGAATCCATGGTGGCATTTTACAACAATTTCTATTTGAAATCGTGAGTTAGTGCTATGTTTGTGATTTTTTTTTATCGAGCTAAATTCCATAAATCATGTTTCCATCTTTACGGATCTCTAGACTATGTTTAATTTTTTTTAAATATTTATTTTCATGCACAATAAATGCATATTAGGGTATTTATTTCTCTTCAAAAAAGTGCAAAATCGCTGCAACCTCGCCTTAAATGAATTTATTTACTTACAATAATAAGATAGCTAACAAAAAATTCCATTCCAAGGACGCTCCTTCGACTCCATGGACAATTCGTGACCACGGAGTAGAGCTCTATGGAGTGGAGATTTTTGAACATGTACCCGCGTGACATAACAACATGCTTTTACATTTTGAGGTTCTAAAGTATAAATTCATAAAGATATCCAATTAGCGCATACTTTTTGATTATTAATCGATAAGAATACTTACCGGTTAATTCTGAGGAATAGCACACGGAGTTGTTTGGTTATGCTTTCTAATTTTATGAACTTTTAATTAAATCTATTAAATAAAATGCTAATTAACACAGCAGACAGGTGAAGTGTTGCCAGTATAATAATTAAAAATTGCATAAAAATTGCAAAATGTAATTTATTCCCGAATTTAAACGTTTTAAAACATACTCGTAGACCACGGAGTAGAAAAAAAACTTGCCGACGAGATCAAGGCCGAAATTTAGGTGCTATAGTAAGTACTATTAAAGTAAATATTGTCTAAAATCAAACCCTTACATTTAACATTATATTCAAATTAGGAAAAAATAGCGATTTTTTAATGGAACACTACTAATAAACATCATTTGTTTTTAAAATCGAAGTTGTGACAGGACATGGAGCGGAGTTTTTACTTCTTCAAAAAATCTAAAATATATCCAATTTACTATTTTTGTCTACTTTTCTAGTACATAATATTAAAATACATTTGTAGGTTGGCATTAAATTAAAAGATATGTACAAAAAGTAATAATCATAGTCGTTAAGCATGTATGACACTTTTATAAAAGTTATGAGTGGTTTGTGTACCAAAGGTTAATTAAAACCACATGGTGTGCCATACTGCGCCTAAAATAGAAGGGATCCAGGAATAGACCTGTTTTGTTGTTTGAATTTATAGTTTTTCATACGTTGTCCTAGGTAAGCTAATTTTTTTCGTGGCCGCAAGTGGACGGGATTTGTTCTCCCCTCCACCCGCATTAGTTTGGTCAGCTGCCAGGGGGCGGCGTCCGCGTGTGCCGGACGTTGCCTATAAAAAGAGAGGTCCTGGAGACGGAGCCCGCACCAGGAGCGGGCCGGCGCTGGGAGGTGTCCAGAAGGCGATAACTACCGTGACCCTTCCTAAACTGGAAGCGCAAAGAGGGCATACCGTGTGGTTTTAGTCGGTTCGAGTCCGACACACCGCCCCGCCGAACGAGAGCCCCGGCGGGGTGACGGTCCGAGGGGATTTCCACACGTAAAAAGAAAAAAAAAAGGTAAGCTCAATTTTAAACTGCACGTAAGTCAGTTGTCTATGTGTTCGAAGATTTGGAAAGTCGTGTTATAGTACCTAATTTTTTTTGGCAATTTTTCTAGCCCAGCAGTTACATTAATCATTATATTGGAACTCACTGCTGAATGTATGCCTCTCCAAACGTACACATTATTATCAGATTCTCGGATTTCCGTACCCAATCTATCCCAGCCATCTTCCTGCAGTCGTTTCCACTACTTGCTCAATATTTACCCACATTAATTTTGAAATTATTGCATTTTGCACACGACTAACGATACCCGTATAACTTGATTTTACCCAAAAATATGTCTC